TTCGCAGGAGTGGGTGGGTGAGATTCTGTGGCCTGCGTTGTGCAGGAGGTCGGACTAGATGATCATAATGGTCCCTTCTGACCTTAGTATCTATGAATCTATGATGTGTATTCACATGGGCTACATGTTTTAAGCTGATTACGCTGCTTTATACTCATATGTTCGTTTAAGAAAACGCAAAGGACATCTACACTGCAAAGAAAAACCCGTGGCACAGAGTCTCAGAGCCCAGGTCACTTGACTCGGGCTCGCAGGGCTCTGGCCGCAGGACTAAAAATATTTCAGTGCAGACATTCCCAAATTGGAGCCTGGGGTCCAAGACCCTCCTCCCTTGCCAGCTATCAGAGCCCAGTCTCCAGCCCAAGATGGTACATCTATAGTGCTATCAACCGGGGCTCTCAGATTCGCTGCTGGGGGTTTTTCTTTGCACTGTAGACATACCCACACAGAATGAGTCTGCTTTTAGACGAGGAAGACAGTATGCGTGTTAACCAGCTCTCACATTCCTTATATCCCTCTTTTCACAGGAGATTACTTAACTTTCAGTTCATATTCCTCCGAACAAATCATTTTTTCCAAAACTTTTCACTGAACGTCCATTAAGCTATTTTAAGAACTGCACCACAACAATGTTCATACCCTCTATGTATTATGGCTGAAGAGTATGGTCCATATTGTAATTTAGATTAGTGGGGCAAAGAATGCATCTCTCAGGTACACCCAGGAGTAACAGAGATCAGAATACAGATCTACCTTCCTAGAACACCAACATAAAGAAAAAAATTCTACAGACCACAGTACTATAAGCACTGATTGCATCATAGCAATTAGAGACAGAAAGGTTTCAGAGTAGCAACCCTGTTAGTCTGCATTCGCAAAAAGAAAAGGAGTACTAGTGGCACCTTAGAGACTAACCAATTTATTTGAGGATAAGCTTTCGTGAGCTACAGCTCACTTCATCAGATGCATCGGATGAAGTGAACTGCAGCTCATGAAAGCTTATGCTCAAATAAATTGGTTAGTCTAAGGTGCCACGAGTACTCCTTTTCTTTTTTAGAGACAGAAAGACACTTATTGAAGTACCCAATCTGTCCCTCTGAAAATACAGTATGTGACACCCTCCCTTCCTTCTCTTCCCCCAATAGAGTTCATTTCAGTTATTACACAGCACACTTGATTTTAGCCAAAAGGCCAACACAATAGTTCTATTACTCCTAAAGTTTTCACTTCAGTAACAGATCAAGCTGATCATTACTCAGGCAAATTCAGAACAGGATTGCTCAGAGAAGTCAGTCGTCTATCCTGTCAGAAAATAGCTTGTTGCGGTAATAAGCCAAGAGAAATTCAATGCAGTCCATTCTAACCCTTCCATCTCACACAATATGCCTGCTAGCGTGATGCTGTTAATAGCCGTTACTCATATGGGTCTGATTCAAGGCCCAGCAAAGTCAATGCAAAGACTCCCCTCAACTTTCCTACTGAAGTCACTTGGAGTTTTTGCCACCATCTTATTCAGGGCCAGGATTTCATCAAAGATGTTTATTGAAATGACGGTAGGAAAAAAGACTGAGTCATAAACCGTTCTTTCCCTCGAAGAAACCAATACACTTTCTTCCACCACAATTTATATAAAGTTCCAAAGTCTTCCTATCACCAGGCAACATTGTAACTCATCCTTGTCGCTGCTGGACCGGAATCATCCTAGCTGTCTTGGATATATGGAAAGTGACACAGATTTCAAGAATTAATAGCTAAGAACACACAAGGGCAACTGCCGCGTCTTACCACATACACAGATGCCACTAAAGAAATGCAAGTCACATTAATTCAGGGTAGCATAAAAATATTTGTCATAAAGCCCGATCCTGGCAAGAAGACAGAAAGCATTCCTAGATCAGTCTTTCCTTAAAAAGGAATTCACTAGAACTAGACTTTGATTAATCCAGAGAAATTTCAAATGTATGTTCCACTATTGTACTGGAAAGAGATACGTTGGCTTCAAAAACACACCACTTGTAGATGGCTTATCCCCAAACAACATGCTGATACTCAGCAGGAAAAGGGTCTCTTATGATGCCACAGAATTAAACATGCTGCTGTAATACATCAGGTCTGCAAACGAGCAAATTTGTGAATGCTTATTCTTTGACAGCCAGTCACCCAAAGTGTAAAGAAGTTCAAAGGGGAATCCTGAAACACAGAACCTCTGTGGTGAGATTATAAGTGTAAAGGACCTAAACACCTGTAGGCTCAGAATTTCACCTGAGGGGGAAAAGAGTACAAATAAAACCCCAACAGCTGCACTCAGCATTTATGAGGAACCCTCCAATGACAAACCAGAATGTAGGAGCCCTGGATAGGAATGTCACCTGTCCTGATTTTCAGTGGGTAACCCTATCTGTGTTTTAGAATCCCAAAATAACTCGAGGCATACAAAATACCATGCTGTAGTGTCCAGATGTGAGAACATGGCAGCATCATGATGCTGCCGCAAATGAATTTGTTCTGCAGGAACCACAGCCATGGAGGATGGATGAGAAAGGTTTAGTCTCTCTCCTCCCACCCTCTTCCTTTTGTTTAAAAAAAAAATAATCAAATTATAAAAATATATCAAAAATGGGAGTACATTTAGGTTACAAGATACTTTGACAATATGCTTTTAAGAGAGAGCAATAGAGACATTAGCCAGAGGAAATATCCATAATTTAGTATAATTTCACTCTCTACAGTGAAAAGGAATCTGTATAGGGGAGATTACATTAAGAATATAGCACCTCCAAGACCATATTTAACATGATTTACTCCTACCCGGGTAGATAAAAATCTAACCACGTCACACCTATATTAATCAGGGCTGTAACATGATTCAATAACACAATTACACCCGTTGGGTCCCAACTACACAAGCAAATCTAAGCTTGAAATATATGATAGAGCAGGGTGGGGAAGCTAGGATATGTAAAACACTATCCCTACAATATTTATATTGTAACTGGGACACCTTGTGTTTTCAATGCTGGAGAAAGTTAATCTGAGGATCGCATCTCAATTCTATCCACTTACAAAATAAAAAATAAATGCTAGGATAAGTTAATAGTCTTAACCTACAACCTAATTTTACAAGAAATTGTTTCCCTATTACAAAAATCACCACTTCAGTTTCCACAAACTGCTTTGGGCAGAGGGAGGAATAGGACTCAGTGCTGGGACAGGCCAGTCTTTGGGGGTGAGGGATAGCTCAGTGGTTTGAGCATTGGCCTGCTAAACCCAGGGTTGTGAGTTCAATCCTTAAGGGAGCCATTTAGGGATCTGGGGCAAAAATTGGGGATTGGTCCTGCTTTGGGGGGGGGGTTGGACTAGATGACCTCCTGAAGTCCCTTCCAAACCCTGATATTCTATGATAGGTCAAGTGTGAGATAAATCAGTAATTGTACAAAAACCATGTGTATGAACAGCTGACTGCATAATGCAAGGCAGCAGGTATTGTTACCAGTCTCTTTCAAGAGATGGATTTCATTACTGAATCCACACTTCACCATATAACGACATGTATTTTTTAAAAGTAATATTCATGCAGATTTAGAATTCAAAAGCAGGTGCCAACACTTTTCCTTATGGCAGGCAAGAGATTCATCACTCAGCTTTTCAGATGTGTATTACAGGGTTTCCCTGTGTGTTTGCATGCCCTATGGAACTCTGAAAACTTTGCTAAGAATGCCTGCATTACCATTAATAAGAACTGCTCACAAATGTATTCCTCCTGAACTAATGGGAGAACAGACAGACTAAAAACAGCTTAATTTAACACCATTAGCTACTTTCTAAGAGAAAACAGGAAAAGGACACACAGTAGTGTACAGCTCTTCCATTTTAGTTTAGAAACAATGACAACCAAAAGTAACACTAATGATCAGCTTTGAGAGAAGCTCTGTATCTAGTGAACTGTCTTTTACTGCAGTCATATACGTAAGCCACACTTCAAGTCATGAGGAGCAATGTTGCAGATAAGGTACAACATCCACACTGAGAGGAGTTAAACATTGCTAGTATTTATGAACCATGACCAAGTGGCATTTAGCCTAAAGATGTAGAGTCATGGGGATTTCGAAGCTATATTACAGATTCACTTTATCAGAGAGGAGTAGACTATACAATTCGACCACCACAAGGGTTGGATTTTTTTCTTCTTGAGGGACAGAATTTAGAACCAAAAAAGGGATATTCATCATTGTTTGTGTGTTTACTTTCCTGATTATTCAACTGGCAACATCTTCTGGAGAGGAGGCAATTGTCCTCCCATCCCCTCTCCCACTCTATTACAAGAAATTGAATAAAGAATTTCAAACAGAAGAGAGACAGCTCTGCTAAGAGCTAAAGCAGTAAGGAAAGACAAGTGCTGCTACCTTTTAAATAACTAGGTAAATAATGCACCTACAAAAACCATAACCCCTCCCCTTTCCGAGAAGCTGCCTTCACGTGGCCTTTCCCAGTAGAAATATGCTAGGACTTTCAGAAGGAGAAGGGAAAAGTCATTAAAGACCAACCCATTTTTATTTACATACCAAAAGGTGAAAGCCAGATAATTTACAGCTTGCCTGCAGGACTGCATTTTGGAAGACACCCCCAAGACATTCTCATTCGGAGTTCCTTATCTTCCCCCAACACCTGTGCACCACACCCTAACCAAGACTGCCCAGAGACACATCTGTTACTAATTAAGCTATAGTACAACTGTTGAAAAACAATAAGGTATTAGCATGAAAGCGATCATACAAGATTAATACTTAGCTCCTATTTTTCCCCACAGCTTCCTGCTTCTACATCCAATACCCTTCCCAGACGCTCGTATCTGTCAGCCAGTGCCGCCCTGTTATTCCACCATGCAAAGGTAACCCGGGTGGCACTGGGTCAGATACATGCGATTCGGGATTCCTTATCAGGTTTAAGCCACCATCATTCCTTCCCCCTGCCCTTCAGGCTTCTGACACGCTGTCACTTACTCTTGAGTGCTGCAATGAGCGACTTCCCATCTTTGATCAGCTCCTTGATGAATTTGTTGGTCTTGTCCAGCTCAGCTTCATGAGATTTCAGCGTCTCTCGGAACTGGGGGCTGTCCAAGCAGCAGTCACTAAATTCCAAAGCAGGTAGTCCCATGGTTTCCTCACACACCCCTCCAACAACCCTTTAAAAAAAAAAACTTAAAGAAGGAATTCCCACGAGTGCAACCAAATAAAAAAAATACACGTATATGTTCTTAGTCTATTTGAAAAGAAAACGAAACTTTATCCACAGACGAGCACGCCTCTCCTCCCAATTGGTCACAGATTTCCAGGCACCTTAGAGGGAGGGAGGGGAATCAATTAATTAAAAATAATAAGCAGGTCAGAGGAGTTAATGAGGCTCAGGGTCTGCACTGGGATCCGCCTCAGATGCCAGGGGGTGGGAACAGGAGCAGCAAAGAGGAGGGGGCTCGTGCTGCAGTAGCAGCAGCTGCCGCTGCCTGGGGACTGCTCATGGCGAGAACTTCCACACACGCTGCAAACCCCAGGGTGCCTCCGCCGCTGTCTCCCAGCCCATTCAATGCTGCTTGCTACCTAAAGTTCCCCAGGCTGGGGGAGAAGCAAGGAGCCCAGCGGCCTCACTCGGCAGCAGCTGCTGGTCAGCCCAGCCAGCCCTGATGGCATCCGGGACCAATCGGGACGCTTCCCTTCCCCGTTGGAACGTTGTGTATCATTTTTCCGAACGCGCTTCCCATCAGAACGTCCGGGTATCTTTTTTCTTCGAACGCGAGGCCTCCCCTTGCGCAGCCGCAGCCAATCGGCGCAAGAGCTGCTGGGGGCAGGCAGGGGAGAGGGAGGAGGGATGCCCCAGCGATGATAGAACAGGCGAGGGGGGCGTGGCCAGGCCTGTGTCAAGTCGCATGAAGGAGGAGAAGGGACCCCCACCGCCTCTTAAAGGAATACCGTTGCTACCGAGACCGCAGAAGGCATGGGGGAGGTGCTGGGACAAGAACAGGGGTTACTCAAGGACATTCCTCTGAAATCTGTTGCTACAACCTCATGCGGGACCAGAGGAGACCCAACAAGAACAGTGCAGGAATTTGGGGGGGTGGGCACTTCCTAGCCTCTGGTGGGATTCTTCTCCCTCTTAACACGACTAAACTTTCCCTGTCAGGAGAAGAGGACTTTCCTTGACAGTACTGTACAAAAACTTTCTACACACCAACCCTGCATGGGCTTACATGGGGCACTGGAAGGCAGGAGACCTGGGGTCTGTTCCCACCTCTGCCAATAGGCTATTATGTGACCTTTGGCCAATCATTTCACTCCTCTCTGCCACGATTTCCCCTCCCGTCGTGTGTCAGGATTATCTATATTGCAAGGAGTGCTGGTTGGGATAGTTTCTGTTTGTTCCTGTGACATATTGCAGTGAAAATAATCTTTTTGTAAGTTTTGTTTAATTTTTTCTTCAAAGGTTTTTGAGGTTTTGCCAATAAAACTTCAACGCAAAAAGCGTGTTTGGTTTATTTTAAGCTGAAAACAGAAAAATGTTTTTTCTTTGAATACTTGAAAAATTTTGTTGAAAACACATCAAAAGTAGAAATTTCTCTTCTGATGAAAAAATCATTTTTCATCGAAAAATGTTTCAGACAATACATTTTGACTAGCTCTAATTGTAAACACTTCAGGGCATGAAATATCTATTATTATGTCTAGTACAATGGAGCCCCAAAGTACTAAAACATACACAGCCTGTGGATTATTAAATCCTGTTTTTCTCTGTATTTATTTAAAGATGGCAATGTGCTTGGGGCTGTATAATGCACACAGAGAAGCCCTTATCCAAAGAATGTATAGTCTAATAGTGACTCATGGAGAAGATTCAATGCACTGGGAAAGCCAGAGCTGGGGATGATTTGCTCAGACCATTATACCAGGCCTAGCTCTGTAATACAACATACAATTTTTTTGTTCTGATTCTGCAGCTGTGATGACAATAGTCATTATTTTTAAACATGGCTGCCACATACATGATCCCTTACAATATGACACTTTAGCATTTAAGTCCAAGCAGTGGTGGTACTAAGCATAGGCAGACTTCAGTTGATAGGGCTCCAAGCAGCTCAGAGGGGCCCCAATTTAGTATTACCCCCAAACTATTGTTCATCTTATTTAATGTGGACTCTTTAGCAAGCATATTAGTATATATAGTGTTGGTATGTTTTTTGGTTTGTGGAAATAATGCAATTAGTAACTTTACCTGGGGGTAGGAGGGAGCCAAAATATTCCTACTTAGGGCCCCCAGTAGGCTAGCATTGCCTCTGATCCAAGACTGTAGTAAACTGTTGTACTTTTTTAGTAAGTGTAATTTTCAAGAAAAACGTGTAATTTAGTGGGTCAGCTGTGGCTGGAAGCAAGTCATGTAACCATTCTATGCTTTGGTTATTTCAGCAATCAAATGGAGATGACAGTACTTCCCAGAGGCATTGTGATGCTTAAATCATTAAAATTCATCTACAAAGGGGAAAAAATGAGCTGGTGTGCTTTTTTATTTCTTTATTCTATAAAGAAGGCCCAAAAGGTTTGTGGTTCTGTTTAAAGGGCTTGGTTTTGTTTATTTCTTTTGAGTTTTTTACCTCAGAAATTCAGATCCTGTGTAGCCTAGAAGACTTCATAGTCCGGGGGCTCCATACAGGGAGACCCTTATGTCTAAATCCAAACCACGCTGGCCTTTTGCATTGCCATATCATGATAAAAACTCATAGCTAATTTTCTGTCCACTCACAACCCTAGGTCTCTTTCAGCATTGCTGCTTTCCAATTACGCATCTGGGTTTGTGATTATCTCCCAGATTCATTAGCAGGAGATGAGAAATAAGACTTTAATCTTCGAAGACTTTGTCATGAAGGGTGGGTTAGCATGATTTAACAGATTAGCTCCACAGAGAGAGACTCTGTGGAAGTACCATGACATGCTAGCAGCCCTACTCCGTCTTTCCAGGTTGAAAGTGTGGGTGCACTATATCCGCTCTAAATGTGTTGCACTCAGCTAGGCGTATAGGATCAGGGATGTGTAACTATACCGCACAAATTCAGGTACTTTCATTTTTAGAGGAATATGTTTAATTTGGGATGGGACAATTTTAAATGAATGAATTTGATAAACCATGTCAATAGGAGTAGCTGTGTATACCTCTGGAACACCCTATGAATCCAGAACAAACACTGCCGCTGCCCATTCTCCTACCTCTCTATCCAAAACTGCCAGACACAAATTCCAACCCACAAAGCAATTACTATTGTTAATTCCTTTGGCTTCAACTCATATGAGATGCATGGGGGCTAATTATCAGTATTAAAAAAGGAAACCGCATCAGTGGTGGGTTGGCGGCCCTATGGCGTTCTCTGTTTTACTTCTTTCAGCAAATGACTCAGTCATGTTCAGGCTGAATTCATCCCAACTTCAGCCTGCCGCATTTAAAGGGATACAGACATACTTTTTATTCTACCAGAGCAACTGAGAAGAATGGTGCCTGAGTAAAGCTTCTTCAAAGAAATCTGTGAAACCCAACACAATGAATATTAAATACTAAATAATCCAGTACAATACAGCTTTAAGCAGAGTTTTGTGAACACCAGAATGAAACATCTCTTGTTTTCACTGAGATTTAATTTCTAGCCAGTCCATAACACACAACACAAAATATAAGGAAGTGAATATACATAAACCCAAATGGTCTGGAGCTGAGCTACCTTAGAGAGTGCCTTTCTCCCATGCGCCATCACAATGGCTGTGATCAGCTGTGAGCCCTGTTGACAATCCCTGGATGAGCACTCTCAGCAATCAGTATTGAGCTCTGGAATTCCCTTTCTTGTGAGCTGGTACAGACTAACACGGCTACCACTCTGACACCTGAAATCGTTTCCTGTCAGAGCTCTGTCAGGCTCAGGAGAAGGAGAGATTTCTAATTCTGGCTGTGTCACTGCCTTCCAACGTATCCTTGAGTAGCCACACCGCCACCTTAGTTTCCCTCTCAGATGAAATGGGAGTAACAATAATTATTTGAGCATAAGCTGTCGTGAGCTACAACTCACTTCATCGGATGCTTATGCTCAAATAAATTTGTTAGTCTCTAAGGTGCCACAAGTACTCCTTTTCTTTCTGCGAATACAGACTAACACGGCTGCTACGGCTGCTATTCTGAAACCAATAATTATTTGCCTACCTCAGGCATAATGTAAAGTTTAATTAGCTAATGTTTACATAGCCTTTGTTCACTACTATAAAGTGCTAAGTATTATTATTTCTCACTTTAAAATTGTCTACCATTGATGTTTGGTTTTGTCTACAATGGGCCAAAATGCCCCAGCATTTTTTATTGGTTTTGTACACTTAAAATGTTATTATTTTAGTTTAATGTTAACACGTTGATGAGCCCAACACTTGTCAAATGGCTAACACAGGAGAACCTACAACTAGTTGGACACTCGCAGTAAATGTAACTGGGGCTGAAAGCTGAATTCTGTACAAATAATTTGGACTGGCACTTTGGGGACAAGTATACCTAGTGAATATTTCCTGATGTTTATCATCAGAGGGATATTGGGAGTCATAAATTTTAGGGGAACAAATGCCAGATGAGGCATTTTGTGAATAAACTTAATATTTTTACCAGTTCTGTTTTATACGGGGAGATGGGTTTTAAATGATGTAAAATCTGAAATATGCAATATGAATGGTAACAGGGGAGACAACAGAGTCTAATATTATTGCCTTTGAAAGCAGAGAAAACCCTTATTTATTTTCCCTTCCTGTTGCTCTACCAAATTGCATTATGCAACCTGTTTTTCAAGCAAAAATCAGAGGATGTCTCACAACCACAAACAGTAAAGGAAACAATGCAAAATGTAAATTTTGCTGTAATTTTATGATGGGGACAGAAATAAGACTATGCAAACTCATTGTCCTGTGTGACCAGTGACAGGATTGGAAATCACTCCTCTTAGCTGTCAAATCACAGCGTTTCCTCAGTGGTTCTGTACTTTTCTTTTTTCCTGCCTACTTCTGACATGAGCATCAGAATAAACTCATATTTGAGTTCCCAGAGTGCTGTGTCTGTTGGCAGAGACAGGAGTGCAGGAACTGGAGAGGAATAATAGCGACTGATGCATTCCAAACAAGCTTTGTTGGGGTCATGCATCCAAACTGTCTGTAGCAGACTGCCATGTAGGAAAAAAGAAACCAAAGCTTCTAAATTTACTCCCTAGACCTTTGCCAACTGCTTGTGCCCCTAGGTATACTTGCATGGGTTTGTGATGCTCCAGCAACCTTTCCACCTAGTATAGCATCAAGTCACATTAATTTGACACGTTTTGGGTCCTGATCCTGCTCCCACAGAAGCCAATAAAAGCATTCCCATGGACTTCAAGGGATGCAGGATTGAGCCCTTCATTAGGACAAAATAAGTATTCTCATGCACTTCATCAAGGCATTTACAGGCTATTACTGAGTCACACAGATAGACATGAGGGGTGAAGGGGCAGATGTGTGTATACACACGCATGTGTGTGTGTACGTACATGGATGCATATACAATTATTACCCATTGTCAGAAGATATTGAATGCTGTTATATCTCTTCAAAATGTCTTGCACCAACAAATTCAGACACAGCAGGCAACATGGCAGTTGTACAGTCAGCTAGTGTTCTCTGATCTCACAATGTAGTCTCCATTGTCAATGATCATAAAAAATAGGGTTGTGGAGAGGGATGTAACTTAGGAGTTAACACCACACAGTAATTTGGTCTTGAAGCTTTGATGGTGGGGTTGGCTGCCTTGTAACCTTTTTTAAACTCCAAGAAGCTGTCAGGGGCATTTAGATTTCAGAAACCTGGAGCTGAGTGAGATATTTCTTGGAATGACACCCACTGAGCGATGTGTTCATTTGTTCACATCCCGTTTTTTATGTGACCATATATTGCACTCCCTGTCTCTCTCTCTTAAGGAATGTGTTTTTTTTATTAAGCTGGGCACAGATGAGTCATTGTGAAAACTGCAAAATGTGCTCCAAATGATATATTAAGCCATAGCAATGAATCTGTTAAGAGCCACAGAGAATGGCTATTGCACTGATAATCATTGTGCTGGTACTTTGCTGTCTGCAGTCTGTCTCCCAATTAACTGTTCAGTGACTATGGATTCTGAACTCCAAAGGAATCACTGTGATGTAGTGTATTTGTCAGGACAGTCACCTCTCAAGCCTCCACATTTTTGTCCAG